CCCCTGCCTGTGCATGTCTTTCTTGATTGACTCCATTGAGTACAATCAAGTGCCCTCCGTTTAGTTCTTCACTTTGTACCCTTTCTTTTTAGTTTTTGTAACTACCAGTAGGTTTAGTTTTGCCTTTTCAAATTCCAATACTATCTCTTTCTCTTACTTACGTCTATTACATTACTTATCAAGTTTTCTTCAAATTTAGTATAAACACTCTGTATACCAATTTGACCTTTAGAGGAACTAATTGGATTAACTATGAAAAAACAGTTCTTTTTACTAATTTTTCCAAATTTTACTTTCAATCCCCCATAATGATGAAGCATTGAAAAATATCGTTTTACATCGAATCATTAATAAGTATGGTCTATTTTGAATTTTAGTTAGCTGACCTAATTTTCCAGTTTCGAGGAAAGTTTTCATGTAATTACTTTCGCCCTTCCATACCCAGGCACGTATGCAGACTACATTATTTTTCTTGAATAATTAATTTTTGCCATATCTAATTTATGGCTAAAATTTAATCGATATCGATTGAATGGCAAAAAAATTTAGAGGTTATGCATAATAACATATTATGTAGTTCAAAAATAGAATCGATAGAATAATATACATTTTTTCAGTGTAAGCTTATATCTTGGAAGAAAATGAGTTATATTATTTAAGGAACTCCGTTCTTTCCTTTTCTTATTGGCAATTCGCCACTGAAACAGAAAGACTAATTAAGAATATTTAAATATTTCACTTTTAGAATTAGACCCTTCCTCTCATTGGTCTTTTACTCGTAAAAAAATATTTATCCACTCACTTAAAAGTTTCTGTGGGTAGGTATATCTTCATCGATACAAGATACCTCCTATTGAGCTTATTTGCAACGGTTAACATTATATTGGTAACGGTTCCTTTAAGAACATTAATAGCAACACAAAGGCTTTCATGATTTTTTTGGCGAAAACAAGATGGCTGCATTGTTTCTTGTCAAAAAGCTTTTTGGACACTAAACACTCATCATAAGGCTTAGCAGTTGATGATAGCCCAGATATTTCTGATGTTCTTTCACCAAACACAGTGAGCCCTCTATTTCGAAACGAATTTTGGCTACCAATACAAGCACCTTATAACTTGTTTAAAAGCCAATATTACAGTTGGGGGGTTGGAACCTTTGGTGTTACACAGCAAAATAAAACACTCAATCACCACAATACACCAAAACACTTTTACTTTTACACTGGACGCGCGTTTTGCTAACCATATTAGCATCATCAGTAGATGATCAAAAACTGGAAGTGACTAATCCTAATTTATGTCATATACAAACATACCAAATCTCGTTTTTTAAACTGAAAAAATAAAAAAGTTATAGGGGTGAGCCACTTTTGAGACGCACCCGGTTTGCATGCTTTTATGAATGACTTTATTGAAAAGTGCCAATTATGATTAATTAATAAAGAGATCAATCCTTACGTTCTATCAGCTATTATATTCTTCTTTTACACGCTTTTTCTGATTGATATTCAAAAGGCGTCGCTAACAACCTAGTTAACATACCTATTACTCATCAAACATAACGGAAACATTGATTCAAGCATTCGTTTAATAGCTACAGACACGAATAGACATCGACAATAATTATTTTATAAGGATCTCCATAAATAAATAAAGAAAGCTGGTAAAATAGAAGAAATTACAGCGAATAAACAGAAAATACGGTTGATACACTTGGTTAGCCAAGTAACAGCAATTTTTTCTTAATCATATTCTGAAGTTTCTGGTTTTCAGTTGAACAAAAGGCAAAAAGACAAATTAATGCAATATGACATTGTATTCAGAGCATAAAGTATTTACTAGTCTAAGATTAACTGTATAAATGTTAATTAGGAGATTTCGTGGAAAAAAAAGCTTAGTCATCGGTTAGGTATCAGAGTTACCTGACCGAAAACTAGAAATGATTTGCAATTATTGTTTTATTTTACTATTATACTCAGGTTCAGGGACGGTTTTAGAATTATTGTTTGAGGAAGACTGGTTGGTAAACTTTATTCATTAGGAGTCATATTAACTAATTCATTAATTAGTCCGAATATTAAGATATCACAGGAAATTTTACACAAAACCTATCTGTATTCAGTCATATACAGAGTGATTCATAGCCATGGTACGTTAGACGGTTATGGAGAACAGGTGATAGGATTTTTTGAAAATTTGGATATTTGTATAAAAGCACCTGCCTAGTGCCTCACCTGTCTAAATTATTTTAAGCGTTACAGTGTTTTTCTATTAGACTAACCTATATTTTCATCAGTATTAATCAGACAGATCGAACCCAATTTTGAGAACCTATAACCCAAATTTCAACTTTAAAAATGTTCAATTCATAATTTTACTAATGCTTATTCAAGATCATATTTTTGTCAATTTATAATATTGTAGCATTTTATTTAAATTACACATAATTTATATAAATGTACAGAATTATTTTATTTAAATAAATCAAGTTTATATCCTCGCACCGAGATGGCATTCTAAGTACTGCTATTGTCTTTTATTTCAGTCAAAAAGTTTATTTCTGGCGAAATATTTCAGTCCGGTCAAAGTTTGTTGGTCACTTTATATCTGACGGTGTATATTCGCACTTCGTGCCTACCTTCCCTCGCCATATTGGTGGTAAAGGCTCAAACCGATAGAGCTATCGGCGGTTGTTGGCATTTTGCCAATTTGTTTGAGAAAACCCTCTGAGCAGAGGTAAGACTTTTATTTTTAACGTAACGTTTCCTAATACTTCTGGTGCCATTTTGTTTTTTGTACCTGACATTTGGGCTACGTTTTGTCCTTACAATTCACACCGGGAATAACGGAGGAATCTCCTGATTCCACAGCAGTTTAGGTTCCTATCTGTGTAGAGACGTTTTATCACAATCCAGTTCCAGTAGCAGTTCACCACAACCAGCTTGTGACCAGAACGGATAAAAAAAGGCCAGATCATTTATTTTTATACAATTTAGATTCACTTGAATGCATTAAGCCCTTCAGGCATATTATATATTTGATTACTTTAGAGTCACTTTGAAATATTTTATTCATGTTATGCATATTTCTGATATCTACATAGTACGGTTTTTTTAATATAAAGAGTCCCTATATTTTGGTACCAAGATCGCCAGACTTTTTGCGGAATAATTAATAAAATATTAATATTCAGAAGCGTGCAGATTTAACTACCCCATCTTGAGTGATCTATTTTGATACATACTATTTACAAACAACATTTTCAAACATCAAATTTTTCATAGTCTTATTTTATTCTAATTAACATTTAATTATTAATTATACTTAGTTATTAGTTTATCTCAGCGTTTCATTTGTGTAATTCCTAAAATAAGTAATACCTATATTCTGAGTTGATTTCTCAGTTCTCAACTTAGTTTTCGAAAGTAAATGGAAAACTGAGTGGAGCCCAGTATATTATAAAGACGTAAGTATCACAATTTAATTTTCACTAACTTACGAACCATTGCTCACCGGCGAACAGCTCCGTCGGATAGTATTAGTTGTTTTAATATTTTTCCAAAAGAAAATTCTTATAAAAAAACATTCCATCTTTTTTTATCACTTCAAATGCTACAATATAAACATATTTAATAGTAAATATACATATTTTATTTTTTATCCCGAAAACTATAAGACATTTCCAAAAATGTAATAATATACTGGGTGTTCCCTTTAAAGTGACAAAGATGTAGCAACTTTTCAAACAAAACGTTTAAGGTCCCATCGTCGTGAATCACCCTATATTTGTTGATATGCTGGCAATGTGTTAATTTAATTGTCAATTTTAGCAATTATTATTTTTCAAAATGGCTTTAAATTCTTAAGAGTCTATTACGCTGTACTTTCAAGTCGCTCTCAGCTCTTGATCGGGTAAAGTGAGTGTGTGGCCGAAGGAAATATACAGGGTGGTCCGAACTGTATTCCGGAAACTTTGGCAGCATATTCAGTCGATAAAAATAAGTAAAAAAGTTCGTATAAATGTATGTCCTAAAATGCTTAGTTTCGAAGATACAGAGTGTAGAAGATTCATTTTTATTTAGAGATTTTTTCCAAATAATTTATGAAGTAACGTCAATATTTGGTAGAAAATTTGTGTCTGGCAGTTTTTTAACATGAGAAATTTGATTTTGATGTCAATATGACTCCTAATTGATGGCGTCCCCTACAAATAGGAGTCATATTGACATCAAAATCAAATTTCTCATATCAAAAAACTCCCAGATACCAATTTTCATCCAAATATTGACTTTACTTCAGAAATTATTTGGAAAAAATCGAAATGAAAATGAAAATTCTACACCCTGTATCTCCAAAACTAAGCATTTTAGGACATACATTTATACAAACTTTTGTACTTATTTTTATCTGCAAAATATGCTGCCAAAGTTTCCAGAATACAGTTCGGATCATCCTGTATTATATTTCAGGAATCTGCTTAAGGCTTAGCCTGATCCCGTCGTGTTAGCCACACCCAAAATTCCAAACACACATGATTTGATTAAGGCTTGATTAAGCTTTGCAGAGCTTCAGCATTTGCCATAAAATAGCGAGCAATTTATTACAAAACCATATAAATTACATATCACTGTAATCACAAAACTTCAATCTATTTCCGTATTGTAACGGAATTTTAAATTATGTCTTTACTTTCGAGAAAATTTAGTCCAAACATAAGAAATATTTTGCTTGATGTTTGACCATCAAAATCTTAAAAATAAAGAAGTTGTCTAAAAATGTGCTACAATTCGAATATAGTATAATCCTTTATCTTTAATTTCCTTTTTCATTTGTGTAAAAATACCTAGACAGTTTTACATAAAACGTTAAATGCCGAACGCTTATTTTGCTACTTTTTCGGACTAGTTAAATGGACTCATAAGAAAGGTTTCATCATTATCTGTATTATAGATAGGTCTATATTTGACTATTAAAAAATATGATTATTTCTATCTTTACAGTGGCAAAGGCGCTGTAACGGGTATGCTGAAGACTGGAGAAAAGGGACTGTACGTTTTTGACAGAGAAGGACAACATTATCAAGTGACACCATCGTGCGTTTTAGATTTTTACATTCATGAATCTAGACAGAGATCAGGATTTGGTAAAATTCTTTTCGAATACATGTTAGAGGTAAGTTTTGTATATAAATTTTAATATAGTGTCACTATTTTTTACTATGTTAATATAATATACAGGTTGTTAATTTGTTTATTACTCGTGGCAGGAGCTTTATGGTTGAAATATGGCAACCTCGGCCCGCTCGTCGTTAGACGACGCGACGCGACGGACGGGACGAGTCGACAGAAAACCCTATAAGTGCATGCGTTCTCAATAGGCAGTGTTGCCATTCTGTTCCCCTATAAGTAATTGTCGAGTTAACAACCTGTATTACGGAACTAGAGAGGCCTTGTTTTCGCTAAAACTTTTGGTGCAGAAATATTATGATCAACGACAGGATGCCTTACCAAAGAGCATTCGATAATGCTAAGCATGATTTACCCCTGGCACAACTACGGGAAATCGGGGTAGATGAGAAGGACATCCAAATCATAAAACAACTATATTGGAACCAGACAGCCAAAGTGAAGATAAACGACACAGTCTCGATCTCAGCCTGCGAAGTAAGCAAAGGAGTACGACAAGGATGCATTCTATCACCGATGTCTTTTAACACCTATGACGAAAAAAGATTCCAGCTTGCTCTCGAAAATGAGTCCAAAGGTATTAAGGTCAATGGAAAGCCCATTAATAATTTACGATACTGTTTTACTGGCCTCCACTATGGAAGAACTTCAAGAACTGCTAAATAAGATAAATATAGTGAGGGACAACAGCACAGGCTACGTTATTAATACTTCAAAAACGAAGACCATGGTGATTAGTAGACAAATCCAAAATGTCATCCTCACTGTAAGCGGCGAGATCATTGATCAGGTGGATAGGTTTATATAAGTAGCAAATTTTATTTTATAAAGGCTGTATACACAGCTATGTGATCATTTTTATAGGATACCGCAATTCGTATAAAATGCTATAAGACCGTAATATGATAGCTTTACAACCAAAAAAGGCCCATTTTTATACAACCGTTTAGTAGTGTAGAAGTTCTATAAACAGGGTATACAACTTCTATGCAACTATTTTACACAGCGTTATATAACTATTATAAAACTAACAATAAAAAAATTTGATCATTTAGCGAGGTAAAAGAGTATTTTATTTTTTACCGAAGAATATTAGGAGCAAATTATATTTTAAGCGTGTCGTAAAATGAATCTAGAGGATGTGGATTGTTAAAAAGGAGACTTTACTCGACGGTGAAAATGGCGGGTAGAGCCAGAAGGTACAACAAATATGTAATATAAAAAATCATTAAGGGTTTGAAAAGTAGGGACAATTTTTGTTGCGCCGAAAATTTTACTGGTTGAAATATGGCTTATGTATCTGGCAAAAAATTAAAGCGCCTTAATTTCGATTAAGGTTTACGTATAAATTTAAACAATAAAATAAAATAAAATTTTCAAAAATTCTTGTTTTTAATTTAATTAAACAGTTTATTACTGTATGTGGGGATCTTATCACAAAATAGTTTTCAAAAATAACATTTTACAATTTATTTTGATGTTTTTAATTTTGCTTCATATAATGGCGGCCATATATTGCAACCATTTTATTATAAATGAATCCCTTAAATAAGTCTTTGTTGTAAAATAAAACGGTATAGGATAAATATATATCATTACGCAGAATTTCCAGGCACTATAGAACTATTTTTGACATATTGAGATTTGTGACAAATAGATGCTGCCAAATCTCATTTGGTTAGTATTTAAACTAACAAACATGATCAGATTTTCATGGATTCATGCACGCAATGCATTTCATACATGCCCGACGAGTGAGCGGCAACCTAAGGACTTGGAAAAACAACAATAAAACAATACAAACATTTTGAATAAAACTTTTACATCAACGTGGCAACAATGCGTTGAAGAAGCCAGACAACTAGAGAGATTTTGGCTTTTGGGAACACAGGGAATTCTCGGGATTATTTGCCGTAATTTCGAAGAGTTTTTTCTTACATGCTCTTTTATAACTACCACTGCGTTTGTTAACTTTTTTCCAACTTTCTCAAGAATTCATAATAGGTGTGATTGATTATACTCGTACGTAGATATTACTTTTGCAACAACAACAATAACAAAATAAATAACTAGGTATACCATTTAATTTAAAATGAGGTTATATTATACATTACCAGTTTTATAATGCAGATATTACAGCGAATTTATTTTGTTAATCACAATTTTATCATATAAGGCTATATAACTAGTATTGTATACAGCACCGTAGTTTAACACAATAAAACATTCTATCATACTACGTAATACAACTTTAATAAGACAAGTTTAAGTAACTATTATATGATCTTGTGACTAATGTTGTCACAAGATGTGTAATGATCTAGTTATATGAATATTATAGAACTCTTACATGGTGGGTATAAGAGTCTAATAAAATAATATGTTTGTTATCATATATCATTCTCTTATTAAGTATTATATCATACTAAAAGAAATTATCGTTTAATGCGTTATAGGATACGTTGTAAAAACCACTAGAAAATAGTTTTTCGTCATACTATATTGTTATATTATTATAACATAAGCAAAATCAGAATGGAAAAGATGCATATAACGTCCGCCGGACGTTATCATAACGGCCGGCGGCCGTTAAGTTTCTAAGGTAATCGTAACGTCTGTCACCTGCAACAATGACTATTTATTGTCAGTTGGACTTTTCAAAAATTGGGAAAATAGACCATAGCGAGATGTCGCGAGAAATTCCGTTGGAAATACAGGAGGAAGCGGCTGCGGCTACTCAAAATTATACTTCCGACTATAACCAGAGAGAGATATCAGCAGGAATATGACAATTTTTTGAAGTGGCGGCAGGATAGAAGTATAAACAGCGTAAATGAAGCGGTATTGCTGGCTTATGCTAAAAGAATGTCTGAAATGTATTCTCCTACATCACTGTGGACAAAGATTCCATGCTGAAGCTTGCGTTGAGAGTATATGAAAACATCGACATATCAAGGTAAAAAGCCATTATATTCTTCGATATTTAATCATACTCATCTAAATTATATTTGTTCATAGATTTGGTAAACTGTTCATGTTTCTGAGGCGCAAAAACGAAGGTTATTCACCAAAAAGCCAAAGTTCTGTCGGAGAATGACATAAATAATTTTCTACTGGATGCCAATGATTACACCTGGTTACTCGAAAAAATTGTATTGGTGCTTGGTATTCTTGGAGCTTGTAGGCGCAGCGAGCTTTGGTCACTCACAGTTGATGATTTCGAAGATTCGGAGAAAAATATTCTTGTCTCATTAAGAAATACTAAAATAAGAAAGATAGGAAATTTCTTATTCCAAAAACGGGCCTTCCGTTTGATGCCTATGGTTTATACAAAAATACATCAACCTGCGTCCTCGTAACTTTGACAATCCAAAATTTTTCATTGGTTACAAGAAAGGCAAGTGTGTTAAGCAAATCGTCGGTATACATACCATCGGGAGCGTACCGCAGAAAATTGCAAAATTTTTGAACTTGGAGAATCCAGAACGTTATACAGGGCATTCATTTCGTAGATCATCAGCAACCATGCTCGCCGAAAATGGTGGTGATTTACTATCGCTAAAGGAGCTAGGAGGATGGGAGTCTTCAACAGTGGCAGAAACTTACATAGAAAAATCAGTTTCCAAAAGAATGAAAATAACAAATCAACTTTTCATGATAGCTCCAAAATAATGTGTCTTTAGTGGATACAAATATTTGCCATTCTTCAGTAGCATCATCTTCTTCTATAAAATCTGTAAATCCCTGGGAAGGATTACAGATTTCTAAGAACAACAAGTGCACTTTTAATTTCCATGTTCATTATAATGAAAAATGAATTTTAGTATAAGACATTATGTATTTTTTATCCTTACTTGTGTTATTGTTCAATAAAATTTGTTATTAAATAGTAGTGTTTATTGCTCTAAAAAATCTGCAGTATGACGAAAAATCTAGAACGCAACACGGCCGATAACAAATAACGGCCTTGGCTGCTTATGATCCTCGGCTATCGCCTCGGATCACAAACTTCAGCCCGGCCGTTATTTGTTGTTTATCGGCCTTATTACGTTAATAACTATAATATGACAACTTTTATTAAAAAACAGAATCGTCGAAACCAAACGCTTAATAAAATCAAGCAGTTCTTAAGACAACGCTATTCGACTGTTATAAAATAATTCAATCCTTTTAGAATTTCTTTTTGCTCCTTGGGTGGCCAATAAAAAATGAGACTGCGAGGAAATTAAAATTCCAATCGGCATAACCAAAACAACGTTATTAGCTCATTATTTTTATCTGCCTACGAATTTTTTACAAAAAACTCTGATTAGAGAGGTTGATTGATGTACCTAATAATTGTTTTTATTTACTTTCTAGAAGCAGCAAATAGAACCAGTCAAAATGGCAATAGACAGGCCCAGTGACAAGTTCTTAGGTTTTCTAAACAAACACTATGGTTTAAATAATCCTATAAAGCAGATGAACAATTTCGTCGTCTTTGATGGTTTCTTCCCTAAGTCTATGGATAGTCCTAGATCGATTAACACAGATCAAAGGTAAAAAATCTGTTTTAATAACAATTTTAAAATTGTTTTAATGAAACCAAATTTGTACGCGTGTGTGTAAGGAACAACCTTATTGTGAGATATTAATTTATATTTATCGTATTAAAGTCATGGTGCTTTTGTTAATATTAAATTATACAGGGTGAGTCCTAAATAAGTGCGATATTTATCGGAGTGGTATATTTTGACCCCAGGAACTCGTTTGTGAGGTTTTTCACAAAAGAAAATGAACCAAAAAAAATATTATGAAGATTTTTTAATTTTCAGAGGCACGCAAGGTACACAGAGGAAATGTCCAACCACTTCAAAATTAAAGCAAAAAAATATTTATTTTTTAAATTTTCAAAGTAAATTAATTCAACAATTTTGGACATTTATCGAGTCCTACCAACTGTGGAAATATTTGCACTTATTTAAGACTCTTAGAGATTTATACCGGGTGCGTCTCAAAAGTGGTTCACCCCAACTTTTTAATTTTTTAAAAACGACATTATTTAATATGTTAGTATATGACCTAAATTAAGATTGACTGCCGTATTCAATTGTTTTCAAAAGTTTCAGAAGAGGGCTTCAAGAAAATGACACTCTAAATAGAATAACATACCATATGTCAACTTTTGACATTTTGGGATATGGTTTATTTGAAATTGTAACATGCGGTTCATAACGACAATTTGACTCGAAATACAAAATGTGTGTTACCAAATTATTCGTAAAACATGATTTTTCACAATATGCTAATGAGCCCCGCTTGTTCCATTTGAAAAACTTTGAGATATGATTAAAAATACGATTTGGGCTTTTTTTAACCTGCCAGGAAAAGACACTAGAAAAATTAGACAATCCAATCTATTTTTCCAAGGCTCCTTCATTAAAAATTAGTGTTTTTAACACATCCATGGCACTCTAGATTGAAATTTAAAATTCGATTTTTTTTAAGCGAAAATGTCAATGACATATGATCTGGTATTTTGTTCAGAGTGTCATTTTATATCGAATAAAATAAAAAGATGAATACCGAGGGTGCCCTTTAAAAATCAAAAGTTGTATTAATTTCCGGTGAAACAGGAAGTGACCGAAAACAATTGAATGCGTCAATCAATCCTAATTCATGTCATTTACTAACATACCAAATCTCGTTTTTTTTTATCTGAAAAAATAAAAAAGTTATAGGGGTGAACCACTTTTGAGACGCACCCGGTAGATTGTGTTCGTATATATATATATATATATATATATATATATATATATATATATATATATATATATATATATATATATATATATATATATATATATATATATATATATATATATATATATATATATATATATATATATATATATATATATATATATATATATATATATATATATATATATATATATATATATATATATATATATATATATATATATATATATATATATATATATGAAATGAACAAAATTCTTACAGCTTTAGTGTATATTAATAAATAATATTTTCTTGCCTTTAGCTGTGTATTTTTTCTAATTTCGAAAAATCGAAAGTAGAGAAAAAATTAAAAAAATAAAAAGTAAAAAGAAAATTGTTTTGCTTGTCGTAAAGGGGGGAACCAGCCCCTGGACAGCCCGCCTGATGAAGGGTAGGCCCAGAAACCGGTTGTGGGAGTGGAGCTTGGTTCCCCCCTTTACGACAAGCAAAACAATTTTCTTTTTACTTTTTATTTTTTTTTTTTAATTTTTTCTCTACTGTCGATTTTTCGAAATTAGAAAAAATACAGCTAAAGGCAAGAAAATATTATTTATTAATATACACTAAAGCTGTAAGAATTTTGTTCATTCATATATTTGAGCGGGCCGAAAAACGCTCTTTACCATCTTTTGACGGGAGATGCACTAATATCTCACCGACACTTTACGACATCGTCTGTAGATATAGAAGAAGTTTTGCTTGCCGTATCGGTGAGAACCAGCCCCTGGACAGCCCACCTGATGAAGGGTAGGCCCAGAAACCGGTTGTGGGAGTGGAGCTTGGTTCCCCCTTTACGACAAGCAAAACAATTTCTTTACTTTTTTATTTTTTTTTTAATTTTTCTCTACTTTCGATTTTTCGAAATTAGAAAAATACACAACTAAAAAGGCAAGAATTTATATATATATATATATATATATATATATATATATATATATATATATATATATATATATATATATATATATATATATATATATATATATATATATATATATATATATATATATATATATTATATAATATATATATATATATCAGCAGATGATTAAGAGTTGAAAGGAGTTTTAATCATCTACTGATGATGCTAACATGGTTAGGTTAGCGGCGTTCAGTGCAAAAAGTAAAGTGTTATGGTGTATTGTGGCGAATTAGTGTGTTTATATTTTATATATATATATATATATATATATATATATATATATATATATATATATATATATATATATATATATATATATATATATATATATATATATATATATATATATATATATATATATATATATATATATATATATATATTGACAAGCAATTTTAATTATACATTTGTCTATTTTCTAAAGATACAGATAAATCAAATATATTTTGATGATGTATATTATAGTTGGAGATTGGAACTTTCGGTGGTACAAAATAAACACACTAATTCGCCACAATACACCATAACACTTTACTTTTGCACTGAACGCTTGTTTCGCTAACCTAACCATGTTAGCATCATCAGTAGATGATTAAAACTCCTTTCAACTCTTAATCATCTGCTGATGATGCAATATGGTTAGCGAGATGCACGTCCAGTGCAAAAGTGAGATGTTTTGGTTTATTGTGATTAATCAGTGTTTTTATTTTGCAATTATATATAAATATTCAATTAACATACATATTCATAACACACATAACTACAATTCAAGCAAACAAAACAGTTGTTGAGATGTTGAGGACACTATTATTTTATATTATTATTAATTTGAGTGCTTTATTGATCAAGTCTAACAATTTTTGTTGTTCCTAATAGTTATACTCCAAGAAATAAACAATCATCTAACCATTTACAACAGAACTATTCTTCATCCCCATATGGACGATATGCTGCTCCTAGACCACCTTGTAGTATGGGACAGGTACTAATAATTCATCTTTATTATTAAACAAAACGAATATAATACTCTTTTAATTAATCTGTTTGAGTCAAATTCGACCCTTTTAAATGGAAACATCCTTTTCTATAGGAAATAGACGAAAACTAATATCGGTGTCTGGAGCTCAATTTTCATCAAAAACATGATGGTGAAAACCGCACATCAATATCTGTTACCGTTTCGGAGTTACGGGGTGTTTTTCAAAAATGTGCATTTTTAATAAATCGCTGTAACTTTTTTGCTATGGATATTTTTTTATTTCTATGAAATCATTTCCAAAGCACCTTTTCACGTAGAATTTAATGGTTTAAGTATATTTTTTTATAAAATTAATAATTTAAGAATTATTAACAGAAAATTTGATTTTTTATTTGGGACACCCTATATATTTTTAATTAACTGCAAAGAATTTAAAATTACCTTTCCAAAAATATAGCACACTTGATATTTTATTATAATCCCCTTCGAAATATAGAATTTTGAAATTTCGCCCCTTTTAACTAGTAGGCTTTGGACCCCTTATTGATGATATGCCCTTAATGGATCTCGAAAACATATTTTTCCAGCAAGACGACGCACCGCCTCTGAACGCTGAAGTTATTAGCAAATTTTTGCAGCCAATTTCAAGAATAATTAAATAGCTAACCAAGATCCCAGCCGTTGGCCGTCGAGGCCGCCTGACTTAGTGCTTATTGATTTAATCCGATGGATATATTTGCGGAAGAATAAAGGTTCCTTATTCTTCCGTATAATCTAGACAAGAATTAAAAATACTTAGCAGTTATGAGAGGATATATTTCACCCCCACTGAGTTAATGAATTCCGCGAGAAATGTTCAAAAACTGCCCCGTTTGTCCATAACAGAAGACGGTCGATATGTCGAAAACCTATAGCAAAATCTCATGTCTTGGTTTGCTGTTTATTTTTATTGTTATTAGATATAGTTTAAATGTGTTGATGTTGGTTAAATATATTATAAATTGTTATAAAATTCTGCATCTCTCATAGCAAATATCATTTTCGTTTTAATTGATGCTCACAGCTAGAATTTTTTTGCATTACAGCCGGTGCCGAATTTTTATATACTCTAATATCTGAAAGAGGAATCGAGCAAAATATCAATTGTGTTATATTTTTGGAAAGGTAATTTTAAATTCTTTTCAATAAATTAAAAATATACAGGGTGTCCCATATAAAAAATCAAATTTTCTGTTGAAAATTCTTAAATCATTAATTTCAAAAAATATATACTTAAACCATTAAATTCTACGTAAAAAGGTGCTTTGGAAATGTTTTCATAAAAATACAAAATTTTCCATAGCAAAAAATATACAGCGATTTGTTAAAAATTCATATTTTTAAAAAACACCCCGTAACTCCGAAACGGTAACAGATATCGATATGCGGTTTTCACCATCATGTTTTTGACAAAAATTGACCCCCAGACACCGATATTAGTTTTTGTCTTTCTCCTATAGAAAAGGGTGTTTCCATTTAAAAGCGTCGAATTTGACCCACCCTGTACATATGTATAGTTGATATTACATGACATTTTCTTAATTATTTTGCAGAAACTTACAATTAACATTGATTTAGATTTTTGTTGCTAATGTTAATTAATCAGTTGCAATTATCATACACTCAAAATCTCTTGTAAACCACATTCCTTAGTTTAAGTGGATCTAACCGTTGATTGATAGAATTGGGAAGATACACAACCTAATGTGCGAATGCGTGACAATGCTGATTTGATTTCCCCTTACGCCACAAGTGCTGTACGGTTGAGCCTCTACTTGTTCTGCGGCCAACGCATAAAGCACTCATTTTCTCTAATTCGGCTAGCAAAAGCATATCGAAGACGGTGAGGAACTGAAAGCGACACTGTTGCCATATTAAAATGTGTAATATCTGTAACACCTTTGACGAAAATATCTTTGGATGAAAAATCCGCGTTTAAGTATTGAAAATTTAATCGTGTTAAACATAAAATAAACAACAAAAATAAAAATTCTTTTAAAGGTACTGAATATTTTGAATGATCGAAAAAAGTCGTTTAGTTGGCTTGGAAATGACGAATATTGAAATTTACCATAATATTTTACAATATGAAATAACAGAGATCTTCATTTCCAAGCCAACTCTGATGCCGTTCTTTGTTCAATCATATAATATTATATTAAATTTTGTCTAATAATAGAAAATCCGTATTATTAACGTATTATACCTACTCTACGGATTAGTTCGTAGTTCTTGCAACACTGTATCCAGAAACCAGCCACTCTGTCGACTGAAAGCAGAACTACGATACAGTATTTTTTATCCGCAGCGTTGGAAACGACTATCAGCGCGTAGGGGCGAGGACCTAAACTAAATCACGGGCATATAACAGTAACGCCAGCTATATCTCAGACATATTTTGTGCCACAAAATTGCCCATAAGCACAGAATATTCTGTGCGATAAGGTTACGCATCTTATTATTTCTTCACTCAACGTATATGTAACGTATAATGTTTCTATAACACATTCTAATTAAAAAGTTGATCATATGGTAACATCTAAGCTTAAATTATTCACCAATAACACAATTACCACGTCTATTTATATTAATAAACTAAATATTATTTAACCATTTTTCAGATCATTCATAACGACTCACCAGTCATTAAACGAAACAGCGAACCGTCTGGGTAAGTTAGCTACAATCGGGCAACATTGTAAACGGCATGAGCATATTTTTATCTGAACACGGCTTTATTATTTATTTTCATTCAACTTATCCGTAATTTTTAATTGTTTTGGAATTACCTATTTTTATTTCTTTATATTTACAGTTTTGGCATTTGATTTTGTTCCACTTTTAACAAGTGTTAACTTTTTATTATTTTGACCTAGAACTTCACTCTAGTGATGAGCGAGACTGATTTTGGTCTTGCATTTTGTGTAAAAGGCGTATTCTCACGACTCGTCTACTGGCAAGTATTTTTTTTGGCATACAGGGTCTGGCGAGAATGCGGCGTAGTTCCTATAATAAATCACTTAGAAATTCTGTATAGATGCCCGACGCACCATGTATACCCTGTATACCAATTACAAATGTTTGTCAAGTAAACGAGTCGTGAGAATGCGCCATAAGACTAGCGTTTGATCTGCGAGACCAAGACCAAGATCGACTAGTGTAAGACTTCTCCAAGACCAAGACAAGCAGGCAATGCAAGACTCTGGTGGTTTCCTTTTTATGTTTATGTGATAGAAATTAGGTACTTATTTGTTCAAAATCATTGTTTTAAGTTATTAACTACAAATAGTGTTTTCACAACTATTGCTAATAAAAAAAAATGTTGCTTTAATATACTCCCCATCACAAAATTCCGCCACCCTAAAAATTTGACTAAGTTTGATGTTTCATAACTTTTTATTTTGTAATCCGATTTTTATGATTATAGTATCAGTGTAAAGATAAAATTATTGGTATTCTTTTCTATTATTTTAATGGTTTATGTTCTTCGGTTAAGTGGGTTTATACTGGGGTAAATCAAAACGTTGTTTTTTGCAATAAATTCAAAACACCCTGTGGAAAAAATGAGACGGACATTTTGGATAAAAAACACTTTCCTGACATCTTAAAAGAATTCCTAACACAACATTTTTTAAATTATCCCATTATCTCTATTCTTTTATAAGCTACACATTTTTAAGTAAAGTATTGATTTCAGAGATACTTTTATTGACAAAAATAATAATTTAATAGCGTGTATGTCCACCTCTCGCAGCAATAATAGCTCGAGGTCTTCGTCGTATCGAATGAATAAGGGTAGTTATTCTATAGATTGATGAATGTCAAGCTATAGATCAAGAAAAGATCGTTACCCCGCGCAACGTGGGCCCGCATTATGATGCATCAGTATAAACTGATTTCCAATAAAAGGAGCAAATGGAACGACAACTTCTTGTAGGACATCCTCAAATTAACGGTGGGCATTGAGAGCTCCATTTTCAACAAATTCAAGATTGTAAAAAAATGAGTACTTTATTTAAAAATGTGTAGCTCATAAAAGAATATAAATAATAGTATAATTCAAAAAATGAAATGTTAGGAATACATCTAAGATTACAGGAAAGTTGTTACCCAAAATTCCCGTTTCATTTTTTCCACAGGGTGTTTTGAATTTATTGCAAAAAACGAAGTTTTGATTTACCCCGGTATAAACCCATCTAACCGAAATATATAAGTTTCATTAAAATATTAAAAAATTAATGCCAACAAATTTATCTACAAACTAATACCAGAATCATAAAAGTCGGATTACAAATTCAAAAGTTACGAAATATCAAACTTTTGACTAAGCTTGGGGCGGCGGAATTTTGTGCCGGGGAGTTTATAACATATTGAAAAGCAAAAATTTTACATAAATATTCTAATAACTTCTTTCTTTATGGTTTTATTTACATTAACTTACTAAAAATATTATTTATTTAAATATTTTTTACGTAGAAAGTTTCTCTAGAAATAATCTGTTTAAAAATGCAACACTTGCAGTCTTGCAACAAGACCGAGACCAAGACTGGACCCTGCAAAACCAAGACTAAGACTAAGAAAGGGTATATGCAATGTAATTGTGAAGTTGCAAAAAGATTTGCAATTTAATACAATATTATGATCGAAAAAACCAGGCCAGCGATGGCTATGAAATGAAGATCACTGTCATTTTATATTACGTAAAATTATGCGGGGAATGTCATTGATGTTCATTTCCAAACCAACTGAACGCCGTTTTTTTTAGACACAATTCGCAATTATAACATATCTTTAAAAATGAAATACTTTTATTTTAATAACTGTGACAATTATTGCGTATACAAATTTTATAATAAATTTATTGGAGATTGATTAAAACTCTGTAGTTTGTTTATCAGCAAATTTTTAAGTTCAAAAAATAAAGAAGTTAAAGCCTGTTAAATGTGGTACAAACTAAAATCCTAACGCTGTATTTTAATTAAACTTGTGCTCTGTTTTTATGTGATTTTGGTTTGTCTTGATTTTCATTTAAGTTCGCTTTTTTTCTTTGTTTTCTTGCAGGACTCAAATAGTATCCCAATAAACACTAGCACCGCATATTATACTCTATCCTAGCCAGTATTTTGTACACTATTCCAGTGATAAGGCCCACCAAGCGAACCACAACGCCACCAAGCCCGATCGACCCCAATCTCTTAACTTAGATGTCCCCGAAACTGCTCAACAAGACGGCAACGATGTTATCGATGGCAACATCGAAGCACTTGAAGAAAACGAAGACGAACATGATAAGGAAAACGGTGCAGATAGTCTAAACGGAGATGGCGACGTGGCAAACATGGATGAAATCAAGGAGGACATGGAGAAGATCGATATTGCAGCGCTGGGGGGTTCGCCGTTGTCCAGGGGGTCGAAGAGTCCTCTGATTGAGGCTGCGGGAATCGTTACTCCAGGAAGAAGTACTCCAGGACTGACGGAGCAAGGGTACTTTGACTTGAAATTTTACCACAATAAGTTGTGGTAAGGGTACAAACCGTTACTTATAGGCATTTAACTTTTAAATTATAAGGAACTGTAATAATGCTTGCCCTATACGTTCAGTCATTACATGAAATATTTAAAATAAAATTTGGTATCTATTTTAAAATTTTGTTAGCAGTTGATAACTTTTGTTTTAATTCTTTGAAAGTGGCTAATTTATGGTTTTTTATTTTCTTTGACTATTTAGTTGAGGCACATGGACAAAATGGATCCAGACCCATTTAATAGTCTATTACGCTGTACTGTTCGGGTTGTTATCAGGGGTCGGGGAAAGCGGGTGTGTGGCCGAAGAAAATATATATTATATTTCAGAAATCTGCCTAAGGCTTAGCCCGATCCTATGTGTTAATCCACACCCAAAATTCCAAACACACGTGCTTTGATTAAGGCTTGATTAAGGTTTGCAGAGCTTCAACATTTACCATAAAATAGCGAGCAAGTTGTTACAAAACCATATAAATTATATATCACTGTAATCAAAAAACTTCAATCTATTTCCGTATTGTAAGGGAATTTTAAATTATGTCTTTTTTTTTCGAGAAAATTTAGTCCAAATATTAGTCCTAAAAAACTCATAGATCTGGTACAAAATTATTGAAGTACTTTTTGACATCTAATAAAATAATATACTTTTTATCAACTATGTAAATTATTGCAATTATAGACTTAAGTAATTAATTTAATCCGTATGAGCTGCATATTATATTTTAAACTTACTTTTAAATATTGCATTTGTTACGTTACAAAGGTAAAATTGCAATGTAATAAATACTAAGTGAAAAGTTAAAAAAAAATAAAAAGATAGTAAATTTGACTTTATACAATTATTAGGTATTAGGTATAATAGTTGTAATAAATAAAACAATAAAAATTAGTGTAAAAGTCTGTTAAAAAAAATCAAATTTGTCATTGTCATGCTACAATTGGAAATGGCTGACCGTCTAGGGCTTTATACATTTTATAACAGCTTATTTTCTTTTATTTATTTAATTATATAACTTCTGTTAATACAAAAATCACCGCATTAAAAATATTTTTAGGAAAAATAAACGAATCTCACTGGAAAAAATTATTTGGTATTTTATAGAAGCATTTCTTTTTTATTTGAAAAAAAAACTAATTGTGATTTTTACCACCAAAGTTTCTAGTGTAAGATAAGTAGACAGAGCTGGTTACTTCAATTATACAGCGCAATTCATAAAAGCTCAAACGCACTGACGACCAGGTCGCAGCGACCAGCCAACGGTCGCTTGGACCAGTAAATCCAATGACTAAAGAATACAAGGACATGTAACGCCCATATACGGACTGCAGAAGAATTTGTTACGTTAAACGCCATCATTTTGGAGCCTACGGATGAGTCACCACTCACCACCTCGTCAACAGCGACAATTTTAGCGATTTTTAATAATTTGTTGTGTGTAGTAAACTTTGTATAAACTTTATTACAATGGTGATGTGTTCAGCTTTCATTTACACTTAACGCCGCAACGATAAGAAAGAGCCAGGAGCCAGGAGTTGCGTTTCATAAGTAAATAAACAGTCCACGTCACGTTTTTAGCGTTTTCTTATTGAATTTGGTAATTATTTTTCTAATACTACTGATGCACTTGATATATGCTATACGTCGATACTAGTTTTGTACCTTTTGTTAACATTTTAATACGTTTTTTTCGCAATTAATTAGTATGATACCACCGCCTACACCATAGGCGTAGTCAAAACATTTATCAAAATTATAAATATCCCTTCAAGCAGCTAAGTGAAGAAAAATATATGGCCACGGCACTGTTTGGTGCCATGGTAACAATTTGGTGTCGGGTGCTATATGTCCTTGTATTCTTGAGTCATTGATTAAATCAAATGGTACAACGCGCACTAACGACCACGACCAAGCCTGACTGTTGGCTGGTCGCTGCGACCTGGTCGTCAGTGCCTTTCAGATCTAAGGGTACATCTCCTCTATTGAAAATGTTCAATTTTTGTATTACAGCATTTCTAAACATGTTTGTTACGTACATAGATCCAGCTCCAATTAATTTAATGTTACTATATTGAAGTTCAACTTCAAGAACAGATAAATATTTATAGCTTACTGCTAATTAAGTAGATTTACCTTTGGTTATGATACAACATATGTATATTTAATTTATTTCTGAATAAAATATCTTGCACTAATTTTCTGTTTTTGCTTTTAACTTGTTGTATGTACAGGGTGGCGCCCCTAATACGACACGAATACTCCAAGGAGTACTATAAGTTTGTAAACAACGTTTTGTGTTTAGTAGACGGAACTAATCAGTGTAACCACACAACGGTTGGTTATATTAATTTTCATCTACAAATGAGTGCATTCAGCAAAAAATCAAGAGTTTTAAACAATTTATGTTAGATATTCTCGAGGAGATTCTGGATGTATGCCAGGAGCCACCCAGTATATTTCCTGTATACCTATACCGTTAGTGCACAGAGTGTCCTATTTTAGTATGTTTTACAGGGTTTCTTGTTTTTGAGTAAGAGATACAAACATGCATTTCACATCACTGTGCTACATTTTTATGAAACTAAATTAAGATACTACACAAAGATTTTTCCTAGACCTCTTAGTTTCTGAAATACATTGGTGCAATCATTCTATATACAGAGAAACTACAGTATGATCGCGAAAACCGGCGTCCAGTTGGCTTAGAAATGACGATCAGTGACATTCCCCATATACAGGGCGAGTCTTAAATAAGTGCAAATATTTTTAAGGGGGGTATATTTCGACCCCAGAAACTATGAGGTTTTTCCAGAGATTTTTTTGAAAATTCTGAATTTTTTAAAAAAATAGAAATATTTTTAATATTTTTAGTTAAAAAACGTAGTATCTTCACAATATGGCAACATAAATAAATAGATTAAATCCTTGATTATAGATGATGAAAAACGGTAAAGAGAAAATATGTCTCTTTTATCGAAATCTACCAGCCCTAAAATATTTGTACTAATCATACTATTGTACTATTAGTACTATATAAATATAGTACTATATAAATAATAGTACTATATAAATAAAATGACAACGATCTTCCTTTCATAGCCATCGCGGCCGCCGTTTTCTTTTCGATCAAATTGTATATAAGTAGCGTGGAATGGCCAATAACCAAAATTTGATGTCGAATAAATTATTTGAAAGATTTAATTACTTAATTTAAACCGGCAGCCTATGTTAAAAAGTTAAATAATGCATTTTTACCTTGTTTATTAAAGTAAATATAGAGTGTATTATATATCTTTAGAAAGTTCATAACAAGACAAATAACAAGACAAATGAAATAGAAAAATAATATACATGGTATCCGCTTTAAAAAACGTAAGTTTGGGTTTGGGTCGTATTTTCAACTTTTTAAGTTATAATTTATAATTAGTTTGTGTGTAATAAGTAAGATACGAAATAAACTTTTAGTCACGTTATTAAGCTTGGCCGGCACAACCGTTGCCCACTTTTATATATTTTCTTTTAATCAAAATATTTTAGGAAACAAAAATAAATTATAATTATAAATATATAAACAGTTATTATTACATCAACAAAACTCACCTTCTTAACAGCACTTAAGGGACATAAAGGGCCATTACTACCGCTTTCCCGTTCAAAATATTCTAATAAAGTTGCGATGAGTTTTTTACGGCTATTAAGCAATATTGTACGCACTTTAGCACTAAAAGAGGTTCGAAAAAGAACAATATTGGATTGCAACGTCTGCTAGTAAACATTTTCAAGCTTAAAGTATCACAACACTATTTATTTAAACGATTTAAACCAAAAACTCGTAATTGCTCGTAATACAAAACTAAAGTGTCAAAACAAATGACAATGTTAGCAGAGATGTTAGGAAATAAGTAAATAAATGCGGCAACTTGACATTTTTTACAAAGTAAATGGGATACCCTGTACGCTGTATAAATTTACTAGATGTAAAGAACAAAAATGAAATTATTATATTTTACAGACCGTTTACGAACACTAAAGTCTGAAGCATTTTAATATTTTTAAAATATCTCATTTTCAAAAATAAATTTACAGATAACTACGTACGTTTAAACTGTCATAAAATCCGGCAGCTTACGAGCTTTCCACATAGATGTCTCAGAAATCGAATTGACATTGAAACCTAACCTCTAAAATTTTTGAAAAGATACTTAACCTGCATTCGATGTGCGATTTTTCTATGTGTGCTTATTTTTATTTAAATAACATAGAAACGAAGTATGACTTTTGTCGACTTAGAAGATGTTCCTGAATCATCAAAACAAGACACCAATAAGAAAGAATCAACACCTGTGGACCGTAATACCGGGCAGTGGGGTTACGATTTGTACCCTGAGCGGCGCCAAGAAAAAAAACCAACACCTTTAACACACTATATCCTTGGAAAGGGCAGCGAGAATTTGGAAAAAATCAAGTGCGAACGAGGCGTTTACAGGTGCTTTAAAGAAAGCCCTATCGTCAAGTTGATGTTAGGCGCTCTAAAATCTTCAGGTTGTCCAGTTGATATCCGTAGACATATTAGCTGTGAGGAATGTTCATTAGAAGTTAGTGGAGGCTTTGATCCCGTCTTAAACCAGGTTAGTATACGGTTTTTGTTTTATAAAAACAAAATGAAACTTAACATTTCTTTTAGGTTGTAATTTGCCACAATAATGCCTCGAAGGAAGGAATCATCCAGGGAGTTCTTTTACATGAAATGGTACATATGTTTGACTTTTGCCGCAACAACTTAGACTTCAAAAACATCGATCATCTGGCTTGTACGGAAATAAGAGCTGCTAATCTAGCACACTGTAGCTTTATGTCGGCTTGGGTTAATGGAGATACTTCGATATTTAACATGAAGGCAACCCATCAAAATTGTGTTAAAAACAAAGCGTTAACTTCCATGTTAGCCGTGAGGAACATTACACAAAATGAAGCTATTAACGCTATTGAACGGGTCTTTGATCGGTGTTACAATGACTTAGAACCGTTAGGAAGAAGACTAAGAAGGAGTAGTAATGATATGACCAAGGCTTATGAAGATGGCATTTATTATGGGTATGTTGATAGCTAACAAAGAAAAATGTAATTTGTAGTGTGTAATTCTACTTGTGATATATTTTCTTTAAAATTGTGATTATTTATTAAAGAAAAATTTAGTATTAAAAGTTCTGTCGAATGAATATATTAAAAGTGTTTTATTCAAAAATATGACAACAAAAAGAACAACGATAGAATTGATTTATATATTCATTTATTTTAGACAAAGATAAAATAGACTGGTATATCACATTTAGGTATAGTACATAAACAATAATCTTATCTTTCACATACATATTGATTTATTTCGAATATTCAGTTGAATTGACATACAGTTAACATGTAAGCTCATTGGACAACTTAAGTTAATATTAGAAAGATCATAATTTTAAGTATATTTTATTGAAAATTTCTTAAAACAATTCCTCCAGGATTGGTCAATGAAATATTCAATAAATATTACATCTAATATACAGGGTGGCGCCTCTCATACGGCGCGGAGGCTCCAAGGAGAAGGACAGATTGTATTGAAATGAAGTTTTATGAGCATATGTAGGTTAATTCAGAGCACTTTTTAAAAATATAGAGAGTTCTACAGGGTGTCCCCAAAAAAAGTTACATATCAAAGTTGTGTTTTTTGTAATGGAACACCCTATATATTAATTGATTTTCGGATTCTGGGAGAAAAATAAATGTTAGTTTTATAAGAGATGTATATGACTAAAATGTAAGGTTTTTGATATTTAACATTGTCTAGAAATAAAGAACAATTTTTAAAATACAATAAAGTCTTCCTAAATTGGAATTTACCCGGTATAGCCTAATATGTAGTTAAATTAACTATTGTACTTTAAATCAAATTAAAACTTGATCCAAAAAGTTATACAGGGTGAGACAAAATTAATATTAAACATTGGTCACCTTTACAAGCATGTTACTCTCTTATTTTAAACGGAACACCCAGTATATTATTCCGATATTCAGTGGAGAATTCATGTCTCTTCAAAATACTATTAAGGTTGCGTACCCCCCAAACAAATATTTTCCTAGATATTTTCATTTACATGATTTGATCTGAGTAGATTTTATTATTTGATAAAATCTAGGTGGCTGTGATATGGCCTGACGTTACTTCAACAGTACTTCAACATAGCTGTCTAATTAGTCCAACTTTAACAACTATAATTATCATTTTATGTCAGTTAAAACAAAAAAATTTCTCAGAAATTTGCCGAAAATGTACATTATCCTACATCAGAGAGAATTGATATGATGATTAGTTGGTGAATGCACACTGCATTCACCACCTAATAGAATACTTAAATGATCCTGATTTTATCTAGTCTGGGTTTTTTAATGGGGATATGTTAGACAGTGTTTACAAAACTCGACTAACTAGTGTCGACATGAGCGAAGCTATTATAGCTGCTTTTCGAGGTAGAACACCACATATGCCTTTTAAAATGAAAAGATCATTTTGAAAAGACAATAATTTTATACAGTTATACAGGCATTTGGAGCATTTGATTTCATCTAGCTAATTTTTGTCGCATAATTATAGGTTTACTTCTAGTTTTAATTCTGTAATAATTAAAATATGTTTTAAACGTGTATCTTTTTATTACCCTTGAGTATTTTACTCTACAATCTTTAATTTTTATGAAATTAATAAAAGGTATATCACACAGCCACATAGATTTTTTCAAATATTAAAGATTTACTGACGCAAAATCATAAAAATTAAAATATCCGGGAAAATCTTTGTCTCAGGGGTAGGCAACCTTAATAATATTTTGAAGATATATATTGATTCCTCATTGAACACCGGAAAAATATACTGGGTGTTCCATTTAGAAAAAAGTATTAACTTGCTATTAAAAGTGACTATTGTTCCATATTAATTTTGTCTCATCCTGTATAACTTTTCGGGTCAAATTTCAATTTGGTTTAACATACAATGGTTACTGTAATTAAATATCAGGCTATACAAGGTCAACTAAAATTTAGGTAGCTGTTATTGAAATTTAAAATTTACTCTTCGTTTTCACAAAATGTGAAATATCTCAAAATCCTTACATTTTAGGTATATGCTTCTTTAATAAAACTCACCTTAATTTTTTTCCTAGAATCCGAAAATCAATTAATATATAGGGTGTTCTATTACAAAAAACACAACTTTGATGTGTAACTTTTTTTGGGGACATCCAATATAATTCTATATATTTTTATAAAATGCTCTCAGTTGACCTACATATGCTGCCAAAATTTCATTTCGATATAAATTACCCTTCTCCTTGGAGCTTCCGCGGCGTATGAGAGGCTCCAACCTGTATGAAAAAAATTGGGTAAGTAAATACTTTGGTGCCATTTTGATCAGACAGTTTTTTTTTCATACATTTAAGCATTGTGCTATAGTAAATCTATATCTAAAAGTCCATAAATAAGTAACAAAGGAAGGACTTGAAGAAATTTTAAATAAATATTTATACATTTTTGTAAATATCTCTTTGTGATCAATAATATATATACATTCTTATATTTTTATTTAAGTATAAATTTAAATATAGTTTCAAAAGCATCTCATTTCAGCTCTAAAAATTTTAGGCCATAAAAAGCTTAAAAAGTGCAGTATAACTTCATTTTCTATTAGTTTTTGATTGTAAATTAACACCCTGTGTATCTTTTTGCATATTATTTATGGTATAATACAGGGTGGCGCCTCTCATACGACGCGGAGGCTCCAAGGAGAACGGCAGTTTGTATTGAAATTAAATTTTGTGAGCATATGTAGGTTAATTTAGAGAATGTTGTAAAAATATACAGAGTTTTACAAGGTGTCCCCAAAAAAAAGTTACATATCAAAGTTGAATTTTTTGTAATGGAACACCCTATACATTAATCGATTTTCGGATTCTAGGAGAAAATTAAAGGTGAATTTTATTAGAGAAGTATATGATTAAGATGTAAGATTTTTGACATATTTAACATTTTCTTGAGATGAAGAACAATTTTTAAAATTCAATAAAAGCTACCTAAATTGAAATTTACTCGGTATAGCCCAATATGTAGTTAACATAATGATTGTACATTAAATTAAATTAAAACTTGGCCCAAAAAGTGATACAGGGTGAGACAAAATTAATATTGAACATTGGTCACATTTAAAAGCAAATTACTCTTTTATTTTAAATGAAACATCCAGTATATTACTTCGACATTCAATGAGGAATTCATGCCTCTTCAAAATACTATTAAGGTTCAACAAAGATTTTGATAGATACATATTTTCATTTTTATGATTTAGTATCAGTAGATCTTTATTTGTCTCACCCTGTATAACTTTACGAGACAAATTTTAATTTGGTTTGACATACAATGGTTATTGTTAAATTAATTTTTGTTTGTTTGTTTGTGTACCTTGTTTTTTTACTTTGTTTGTTAGTTTACCTTTGTCTACAAATTGAAAAATTTTTTGACAATAAAGGCATTTATTTATTTATTTATTTATTTATTTATTTATTTATTTATTGTAATTAAATATCGGGCTATACATAATAAAATACAGTTTAGGTAGCTGTTATTGTAGCTATTATCACAGTTTAAAGAATACATATATATTTATATTCTTTAAACTTTGCTATTATTATTTATGTCAAAATCCTTACAATTTAGGCATATCCATCTCTCTTTGTCTGAGGGATAGGCAACCTTTATGGTTTTTTAAAGATAGGCGAATTCTCCGTTGAATACCAGTATAATATACTGAGTGTTCTATTTAAAATAAAGGAGTAACTTGCTTTTAAAAGTAGCCAATGTTTAGTATTAATTTTGTCTCACTCTGTTTAACTTTTCGGGACAAATTTTAATTTGGTTTAACATACAATTGTTATTGTAAAAAAATATCAGGCTCTACAGGATAAATTACAATTTAGGAAACTGTTAAAATTTATTTTACATTTTTTCAAAATGTGAAATATGTCAAAATTCTTACAATTTAGGCATATGCTTCTTTAATGAAACTGACCTTTATTTTTTTGGTAGAATCCCAAAATCAATTAATATATAGGGTGTTCCATTACAAAAATCCCAACTTTGATGCGTAACTTTTTTTGGTGACGCTCTGTAGAACTCTATATATTTTTATCAAATTCTTCCAATTAACCTACATATGCTCCCAAAATTTCATTTCGATATAAACTCCCGTTCGCCTTGGCGCCTCTGCGTCGTGTCAGAGGCACCACCCTGTATATACTAATAGATTATTTTCTATAAATAAATACCTATACGCACAACAGATTTGTTAAACAGTTATAATTTAAATAATTTGATACAATAGTTAAAAAATTACATCATATAATTCAGTACGTTACAGAGAATGTTTTACACAACAATAAATATAGGTATAGTTTCATATTTTAATTATTAAATTTGTGATGATATCGATATGGTAATTTTTATTTTGTATTTTTTGTTGTAACAGACAGAAATTGCTTTACAAACTAATTCACTTTGTGCATTTTTTTTTCAAAACGTTCATCTCCAAAGCCTGTAAAATATTTCATGTCTTGTAAATATATTTGATTTGATTAATTTTGTACACGTGGTAATGTTAAAAAATAACTTGAATAAATATGTTTTGATTCTTCTTAAATATAATGCAGTACATTTGGCATAAAAAAGGGAGTTTGTGATGATATGGTAAAGTTTTGATTGGATATTTGACTCTCAAAGTATACAGGGTGAGTTTCCTACTATGTTCTCTACGGGTATCTCGGAAACTACTAGAGCTAGAGAGTCGGTTAAATGAGGAAAGAATTGCAGTTTTGTGGAGTCACAAATATGCCCTTTCAGATTTTTGAAAAAGTTCATGGCTTACTAGACATTTCGAAAAAAAAAATTTTGGCTGTTTTAAAAATTATCCCTAATTCCATTATAATCTATTTTAGACAAAAAGTTTTCAGATAAAAGTTGTAGATAATCACATCCCTAATGAGTTTGTGTTCTCCGATTTTTTCTAAAGCCTGTCATTTTTGACATATGAGACAAATATTTTTTTTATATGGAAACCATAGTTGGCCATGTCTTCATAAAAAGCGTCATTTTTTAAGCTTTTCGGCGATATAAGCTATAATATGTTTTTTTTAC